CTCGTATCCAGATGATTAACCAGATGTTGAGACAGTTTTTGGTGTTTAAAGCTTGTTGTGAGCCCCGCTAGTGTCTCCTTGTGCCATACAAGGCTTAATAAAGTACAGTAGCATTTTGGGGCCATGTATGACTGAAATTAGTCAGAGTTTTGATACTTAAATTACAATTAAACTTAATTAAGCACTGTCGTCACGTATAATAAAAATAAGCGCGTGATTTCTGATTCCTTGAATGATTTTCAGTTCAGTTATGAACTGTATTAATATTTGTACTTAAGTGGACTATTTGAAAAAAAAAACTCATATTTTTTATTTAAAAAAAAATAGTGTTTAGGTTTAGAAACTCTAGTCTACAATGAAGATAACTCCATTAGCAAACACGTACATGCAATTTCAGTATAGGACATGTATGAAGTTTTCTGACATGTCAGCGATGCAAAGGGAAACTCCTTAAAAGAAACACGAATGAGAACATCTCAAGAAATCATTCAATGGAAAGGCAGAGAAAAGAAAAAAAAAGAAAAGAAAAAAGAAGCGGATGACAAATGAATTTCTTGATTTGATAAAGAAAATGCAGAAGACAATTAATAATAGATTAGCACAGCGTGTAGAAAGCGAAACAAAATCACCAGGTATTAGTTTATTAAAAGATGTAGCGATATCAATTGTCGGCTGATATCTTGTTAAGGATGTCACTGGAATCGTTTTGACAATTATCGTCTTGACAATGGAAGTCAGCTGAGTGGGGCGAACCTCACGAGAACCTGGTCAACCGACCCTGGCAAAGAAAGTAAGCTGAATGGAGCGTACTAAAAACCAGGGTTTCTTGATGAATTACTTTTTATTTAGACGAAGGCTGATATTACAAACAAGAGTGGTTCTCTATAAGACAGTTGTCCCTAGCAGCCTAAACCCGAGAGTAGCGCTCACCTGCCGTGTCGTTAGCCCTTTCACCTCGTCTTAAGTTTCCTAGATCGCCTACAATCGGCTTTCATGAGAAGGTGGTAACTGAATAAATAAAGAAAAATTTCCCACTGCTAGGCATCTGTCGCATGGTGCTATTTCGAGGGTAACGATCCGAACAAAAATTTTTTTTCCTGTCCTTAAGTCATAAGCGTTCGGCTGGAAGAAGCAGCAGCCTGCGAACGAACCTGGTGTCTGGTCTGAGCTGCAACGCTACAAAGAGAACTAGCTCGACAGTGATGTACGGAGGTTGAAAAACTAAATCAAAATATGCTGTATGTATGAAATGAATAATAATTCTGGTTGGACAGAAAACATGATCCTTAACAGGAAAATCGTGCCCTCTTCAATGTGTATAAAAGAAAGGAAAAGATTTTAAGAAACTCGGTTGACCTGTTCTACCCCACCAACCATATACGACTGTCCTCCCACCGGCTGATTATTAACTTTTTCGATCGCTTGCAAAAAGGCCTTAACGAAGAAAACCTTCTCTATTGAAGACCAAATAGCTTGTTGGAAGCTTTTCACGTGCAGAATTTTACTCAAAGCTTGAGAATTTTTTTTTCTCTCACTGGGCGGTATAGGGTGTAAATGAAATTACGGATTGCAAAAGCTCTGAAAAGTGGGACCGCTTAGCATACTTTTTTAAAAATCATAGTAACATGTACATATATCACAAGCACGTGCTATCAGTAAATAATCAGGTTAGGCAGCCTGTGACCTTTATGTAGTAAATCTACAAAAATATATTTTGCATTTTATGCATAATGATCAGAATAACCTTCATAATTTTATTGGATTAGGTGCTTATTGTGCCGCAGGAGTAAATGTAGCTGTTGATCTATTTTATTCAGAGAAGGCACTGCCTACCTAGGCAGCAAGTCCCTGATATATATATATATATATATATCCAAGAACACTAAAAAAGAAACTTAAATCATCAAATAAAGGACTATGTATTAACTAAATGTTAATTTAAACATTAAATATAAAAGGCTGTGTATTAACTTTAAACATCAAATAAAGGTCTTTGTGTTAACTTAGAACATCAAATAAATGACTATGCATTTAGCATGTGTTAACTTAAAACATCAAATGAAGGACGATATATTAACTATGTGTGAAATTAAAACATCAAATAAAGGACTGTGTATTAACTTAAAACATCAAATAAAGGTCTATGTATTAACGATGTGTTAACTAAAATCATCAAATAAAGGACTTTGTTTTAACTTAAAACATTTAAATAAAGGACTATGTATTAACTTTGTATTAACTTAAAACATCAAAAATGTATTCATATAATAACTATGTATTAAAACATCAAATAAAGGATTATGTAAAAACTTTGGAATTATATCATTGACAAACTCTTTTCTACTACAAACATTTGATATAGTCTGTGCAGTAAGGACTTTATATTGTTTCCGCTTTTATCTTAGTACAATAGAGTTACATTATCGTTAGTATCATGTATGAGAACCCTCCGGTATACGGGGAATCAGGAATTCATTAATATTCAAGAATTTTGCAGAAGGCTTTCAGAATTTGAACATTGGGGGAAATCTGTCTATAAATAGTCCTGTTTTTTTTTGTTTTTTTTTAATACTGAAGTTATATACAATAAAATGTGGAGGTAACCAATAAAAATGAACTTGGCTCTTATATTTATCTCTTCTAAATTAGCTAATACGAAGAATAAGATTACTACCGCCAAAACATATGTAAACAGGTGTTATGTGCGCATAAAATCAACAATATCCGGGAACTTCGCATAGAGAACGCTTTCAAGGTGCCAACGACTAACAATAACCAAAAATTTTGCTTTCATAGCGCCATTCTGAGAATTAGAATGCCCAGATTCGCGGCAACATGTTTGAGGACAATTTTTCTTCTTCCCAAATCCTCTGTTAGAATCTGCTATACACTTTTTCCATTCTATATTCAGTTCTTTTGTTCTTTTATTTGGGATTACCATCTTTTTGCATCATCATACACATCTTACCTTTCCTTTAATTACATATTGCCATTAAATAAAACGAATTCTTCATAGCATACACACTATATAAGTACAAAATTGCACTAGCGACTTTACCAATCTTCACACAAAATCAGCTGCTCCAGATTTCTTTTAGCCATTTTTCGTCAACAGTTAAACATGAACACGTGCATGAATGAGATAATTATTAGTGAACTGATCTAATTCACCATTTTTACTGTGTAGTTGATTTGATCTTCACTGTGTGACATCTTTGTGGCTTTGAGGTTAAATTTAGTAAGAAAAACAAAACAAACGCACACACTTAGATTGCCATTTCGACTGGTGATAACAATCCTCACTCTGTGCGTTATAGTTGTGATCTTGTACCAAATCCAAGCTAAGTTTAATAACTATCACCCATGAGACGACCATGTACATGTAAACAATAACAATTTGTACGACTCTTGCTTCCTTTAATTCCCTAATATTACACTAAATCGCCCATTTTTGAACGCAGTTATCGACCGGAGCGTTTCGCTTCGGTAATATCCTGTCTCTTTATCCATGCAGCAAAAATGTCCCTCGTAAATTGGAATTAACTCTAATCTTCTGGATTTCTCATAAGAAACATTGTCATAATTTATATCTGAGTGATTGTTCTCTCAAATCTCTTTTCTTGTTTTTCTTTGTTTTTGCCGTTTCTTTTAACTATATCGTTTCGTTCAGCTTGATTTCATATTATATGACAACACCCAAATAATAATAATAATAATAAAAACAAGCTTCCGACGTGATATTGTAGAGGACCGTTGGGTGATGAGAATGTGAAGATCACACGTCGGTTAAGATTTCCTGCTAGCCGGTCCAGCTACATGAGAATGTTGGACTTTAATTAAGTCCAAAGAAGACAAAGAAAAACAAACAAATCCGATAATTATATCCAAACAAATATATGTATTAACAAGTTACAAGCACATGGACAGTTACATCGAGTTTGTGTGGTGAATATTATGTGTGTGTATTGTGGTGAGTGTTCGTACGTACGTGTATTGGTATTGTTCTTAGCGTGTTCCCAGAATTTGGGAAACGCTGTATTGGTGAGAGCTCACATATTGGTATTAGCTGAAATGAAGAAAGAAGAGAAAGAATTACCTCACCTCTACGCGAGGTGGTATACGGCCCAAGGCCTGAGGGGAAAAGAGAGATCGAGGCAAAAGGTCACCCAGTATTTATAGCAAGGGGAGAGAGACACCTGGTGAAGAATTAAGGAACTAAGGAGGAGCTAACTCCGACAATATGAATTTACAAGTCGTTATATAAATAAATTTGGATGACAACTGCTGGGTAATTTCATAGCCTAATTAGTAAGGCGCTATCTTAATTTGTCAGACTACCAAAGATAGATAGATAGATAGATGGATAGATAGATAGATTGGAATACTTAAGAGACTGAGATAGATAGATAGATAGATAGATAGATAGATAGATAGATTGGAATACTTAAGAGACTGAGATAGATAGATAGATAGATAGATAGATAGATAGATAGATTGGAATACTTAAGAGACAGACAGATAGATAGATAGATAGATAGATAGATAGATAGATAGATAGATAATAGTTAAGAGACTGAGATAGATAGATAGATAGATAGATAGAACAGACTGAGATAGACAAACAGACAGATAGATAGATAGATTGATAGATAGATAGATAAGAACATATTTAGACATACAGAGAGATAGATAGATAGACAGATAGATATATAGACATATATATATATATATATATATATATATATATATATATAGAGAGAGAGAGAGAGAGAGAGAGATAGATAGATAATCGCCCGGTTTGAAAGAATTGGATCAGTCGGTGATCTTCCGGGTAGTGGTCCTAAGCGCACTATGCGCACTGATGCAGTTGAAGCTGTAAGGCAGAGTGTCCTTGAGGATTCATCAGCTTCTATCTGTCGTTGGGTTTGTAAAAGTTATTATTGTTTTATATCATTCAATCTTTCGGTGGCCACCCTATACAATTCGGAGATGGTGTCTAGATGAGAGATTTGCAGTTATTGTTGATTTTCGAGTCGTTCCGAGAATTCAAAAACGATTTTCCAATCATTTTCTTTTCTTCCTTTTTTCCCCCCTATATTTCTTCTTTTTTGCTTTTCTTTGTGCTTTTATTTTTCTCTTTTCACACACTCATATATCTTTCTTTTTTATTTCTCCCCTTTCTTCTTTCTCTCTCTCTCTCTCTCTCTCACACACACACACTCCCTTTCCCTATTTCACTCATCTTTAATTCTCTCTATTTCCGTTTCCTCCTCCTTTGCCTCCTTTTGTTCCGTTATTATCTTTCTATGTTTTTCTTTCTTTTTATTGTATTCTCTTTTTTTTTTACTCTCTACTCTCTTTTTACTGTCTCTCTTTCCTTCCACCACTCTCTCATTCTTTTTACTCGTTCCTTCCACATCTTTTTTATCCACTCTTTTTACAATCCTCTTTTTTCGTTCTTTCTTTTCCATTCTTTCTCTCACTTACTATTTCCCGACTTTTCTGGTGACCTGTCGCAAAAGTCTTCAGCACGAAAACTTCAAAGATCAAGACATTGCCCAGAACATCTGCCTTCAGGTCAACTGGATAAATATCATGGACAAAATAAATTTGACAGGTTGCCAAATCAAATCGACTTGTGCGCCAATGACTGTGTTTTATAGTCATTTTATTTTCAAGAAAATTCCAGACTTTATGTTTGGTTCGCACAATCACTCTTCTGAGCGATTGTATGAATTCGAAATCTCAATGGCAACAGTTTGAATACAGAATCGGACAGGAATTTTGATTTTTGAAGTAATTTGTTTCGTTAACAAAAAATGGTTAATTTTTCTTTTTTAGAATAACCAGCTAACGATGTTAAAAATTTAACTAGATGCAAATTAGATAAATAACATCTCGTCGTTATATATCAATTAGATCTCATTTAAATATTCATCGAGACCTACCCTATTCCTAAGGTACTTGTTGACAACACAAATGTTATAGCATCATCTACATGCCAAAAAAAAGCAAAAAATAATACCTTATTAATAAAAGAAAAAAAAACAAACAAACAAAAAGAAACAACACTTAATAATATCAACTATGAACATGGACATAATATCTTGACCGTCTTTTTAAAAATGGAAACATTGTATAAATACATAAATGAAAAACTATTTCTTATTAAACAGTTAAAATATTTCATTCTTGAAAATGGTTAAATGTATAGCCAAAAGCGCTCGGAAAAAAAAGAACATTCGGGCACGTGGCCGAGTGGTTATTCTGCCATTCTAACGAGACCCGAGCCGGGTTTGAATCTCACCATGGTCGTTATAGGTCTGGAAGGGGGATGATCCCAGAGTGCGACACCTTTTGATAGTGTCTGAAAACCATACCACGGGTTGACCCAAGCCTTGTGAGTGAGATTGGGTAGACAGAACCATTGACTGCCGTCGATAGCTGTGCTAGAACGAAGTCCCAAGACATCGTGGACGAGGGCATGAGCGTGCTGGCTTTGTTCAAATTGTTGATCACGCTAGATAACACGCTCTTTCCCAGAAACTATAACTAAGGTGTGCTAAGCATATTTGCAGTATAAAACCACAGGTGGGCTCTGTGGGTGTTGAATAAAATGCAGGTGAGCGAGCGTCTGCAATAGGGCTCGGCTAGCCGCCCTAGTAGTCAAGTATCCTCCAATATGAGTGGCTAGATATACTATATATATATATATATATATATATATATAGGAAAATGGAAATGTAAGAAAGTGCTGTACAAATCTCGCTGTATAGAGAAAATCATAATAAGATTTGAAAATACTCCAAATGTTTAATATATTTAGGATACATGTCGGATTTCAGAATAGAAAATCTACGCAACGGACCCAGTAAAATATAACGATTATTATAGTTTTATTTCTGAAAACATTAATTTCAAATTTTATTATTTTCTCCCCTCTTCTCTCTCTCTCTCTCTCTCTCTCTCTCTCTCTCTCACACACACACACAGACAATCATATATGTATATAAGAAAGGAAAAAGGAGAGGAATATATCTAAATTCTACAGATACATACGGATATATACAATTTTGTAGTAGTTACTAATGTTACAGTTTATAATATATATATATATATATATATATATATATATATATATATATATATATATATAGCAGCATGGCCCGGCGTTGCCGTGCTTGCCTATCTCATACTGCGAATTTTGTCTAAGCTCTATACTAAACATTAAATCTGTTACGAAAAAAGAACTAAACAAAATGAACACAAAACGATCAGCTTTAAAAAAGGACTCGTAACTGGAAAAACCGAATGAAAAAAGAATGTTAACAACAAATACATTTTCACATCCAACACAGTTCTGCGGAATCAGAATCAACGTTGAGTTTAAGCAAGCGAATGAGCCAATTGGAGTAAAGTGCCATGCAGATTTAAATTTTTCCCATTTGTGACGAATGCAGCTATCGATTTTTTTTTGCATGCTAGCATGCTAGTTAACATTCGTGTCAGTTAGCTGTTGGCTCTCACGCTGGCCAATTGAATCTTACTGCCTCTTCGTGGCAGCCAGCTATAGGCTCTCACTCTGACCAGTACAAAATGGCCGCAAACTACATGAAAATTGCCGTAAATGTAAAAATGGCCTTGCCGCTAACTTGGAGCATGTGCATGTAGATTTTGGTGCAAATCCGTCGAAAAATGCAGTGCATTCGTTACACACACACACACACACACACACACACACACACACACACACACACACACACACATCCTGCCTTATATATAAATATATAAATATATATATAGCCAGCAGTCCTTTGTTTAAACATGCTCTCTTAAATAGAACAGACATGGGCTATCTATTCAGACTTGTAGCGACTTTCTCCTGGTGTCAATTTTGTCATTTGATGTCGAGGCAATCGCCTTCAGTTATCTTTCCTCTTCCCTTATGAATACGTACCGCTGACACTTAACGACCAATCAGTAAATCCCAGTCTGTAAAGAGAACAGTTTTTGGTCGTATCTGTCGCGAATAGTAAATGCTTTCTTGATGTGTAGGTAAAACACATGAAGTGCCCAGATATGACAGGAGCACTCTATTTTCGACCTGATTAGTCTCTTGAAAACGTATAGTAGGATGGATCGCATTCTTATTGGTGCGATAAAAGGGACTGAACATTTTTACAGCCTCTTTAGCGATGGAACATATATATAAGTTCCACTTGAGGTCTGGAGGGAATAGGCGTACAGGACAGGGGTCTTCCTTGAGGGAGTGATAGGCTAAAATTCACGGTCTTCTCGGTGATGATTGAACATTCGAATGGTACGCTAATTTTCAAGTATGATCGACCAACATTGGTCGTTTTTATTCCAGAAGCCCGAGAAATAGACAGTATTGCTTTTTTATGTTGTTCAAAGTTCGAAATGAACGCGGGCTCACGTGCCTATCAGACTTTTCCCCGGTCTTTTAAATAAGAGCAGAGGTTAATCCCTTGTTACCTGTTTAGGGTTGGGTTTCCGGCTCCCTGTAAAGTCTTTTCCTTCTCTTTCTCTTCCTGTGGTCCCCTTGCGTCTTGGTGGCATTATCACCTTACTTAGGGCGATAATTCTTAATCTGTAACCTCATGTATCGAGTGGCTCTTGGGCCTTGTATAGGGTGAATGTCATTGTCAAAAAAAACAAAACAAAAAAAACAGATTTTAGCATTAAGTGGCAACACGACCTTACAATTCAAAGGCATTTTAACACATGGGCGCCTGGTACATGCAATACATATATTCCTCGTCCGTTTTATTTAATAAAAGATATTGTTATATACCGAACACTAATTGTTATATCCCAGTCCTCATAAATACGTTGGACACTATTGTAACTGGGTATAATATGCTGTCTAAGTAATTCATCACTGGCAGTGGTTTACCTACTTCACGCCGCTGGCGAGTATTCTATTCGATTAATGTTATAAAGATTACCATTTCATTTCCACCCTCCATTTTGGTTCATCCTCATTCGGTAACCTTTTCTGGGTTACAATATTTTGGCGTCTGTGTAGGGTAAATCTAAAAAGGGTGTGGTGTTGTATACAGTACCTATGAACACTAACGGGTATGTCCCAATCCTCATAAATGAGTTGGACACTATTGTAAGTGGGGGTAAGATGCTAAGTAGTCCACCACTAGCAGTGTTTACCTACATCACGCCGCTGGCGAGTATTGTATTTTGTTGATGTTATAAAGATTACCATTTCATTTCCAACCTCCGTTTTAGTTATTCCTCATTCAGTAAACCTGTCTAGGTTACAAAACGTACACACACGCTCGCACACGCGCACACATTCACACACACACACACAATCCTATGCGTGTGTCCGTGTTGGTGTGTGTCAATTAATGCCTCTTTTTGTCTGAAAATGTGTCTCTATGGACGCACAAGGTGTATTTGTGCAAATTGCTCGGCATCTACCTACAGGTCTGCATCAGTTTGTTTGCGTGTTCGAATCAGTTTACTCGCAAAATGAATATCCGGTTTCAATCACAACTGAGTGATTTCTGACATTTGATACTCCATAGCGATTCGATCGGCAACAAGGCATTTCCTCCCGCAAGGCATCGTGGGTCAAAGGTTGTCGTGCAGCGTCCGGAATGTGTAATCAGCATGGCGTCATCATTTCGAAAATCAGGAAAAGCGAGGACAGGGCATGGTTACACATGACTAAACGAACACAATGAGAGGCACGGGGCAAAAATGGTGATGGGAAAGACAAAGAAAGAAAAAAAGAAAGAAAGAAAGAAAGAAAGAAAGAAAGAAAGAAAGAAAGACATTAAAAACCAAATTAAACGTAGAAAGAAATAAAGAGTAATGGAATATAAAATTAGCGACAAGGATGAAAAAGAGAGTAAAGAAAAAGAAAGAAAGAAAGAAAAAGAAAGAAAGAAAGAAAAAGAAAGAAAGAATAGCAAAATTAAACACTAAAAGAGAGAAGGGAGTGAGTAATTAAATATAAATTTAAAGACAAGAGAGATAGAAATGAGGAAAGAAAAAGAAACAGAGAAATGTATGAGAGGAAAGAAAAAAGAAAGAAAGAGAGAAAAAGAACGAAAGAAAGAAAGAAAGAAAGACAGAAAAAGAACGAAAAAATAAAGAAAGAAACACGAACAAAATAAAGAAATAAAGAGAGAAAAAGAAAGAAAGAAAAAAGAAGGAAAGAGAGAGAGAAAAAAAAAGCAAATAGAAAGAAGAAAAAGAGAAAAAGAAAAAGAAAGAAAAGAAAAAAGAACAGAAAAACGAACGAAAGAAAGAAATAACGAAAAAAAAAAGAATGAAAAAAGAAATAAAAGAGGAAATAAAGAAAAAGAGAAAAAGAAAGAAAGAAAGAAAAAGTCCGAAAGAAATGTCCCTGAAAGTGTCAACAAGAAAGAAAAAACAGAAAAGAAGAGGAAAAAAAATTGTAAAGGAAAAAGAAAAGAAAAGAAAAGAAAATAAAAATAAAAGAGAAAAGAAAGAAAAGAAAAAGAAAAGGAAAAGAAAAAAAAAGAAAGAAAGAAAAGAAAAGAAAAAAAGAAAAGAAAAAGAAAAAAAAAGAAAAGAAAAGAAAGAAAAGAAAAAAAAAAGAAAAAGAAAAAGAAAAGAAAAAAGAAAAGAAAGAAAGAAAAGAAAAGAAAGAAAAAAAAAAAGAAAAGAAAAAAGAAAAAAAGAAAAGAATGAAAAGAAAGAAATAAAAAGAAAAGAAAAGAAAAGAAAAAGAAAAGAAATAAAAAAAAAAAAAAAAGAAAAGAAAAAAGAAAAGAAAGAAAAAAAGTCCGAAAAGAAATGTCCCTGAAAAGAAAGTATCAAAAAGAAAAAGCAAAGAAAAAAAAGAGGTTCTAAAAGAAAGGAAGAAAAGGGAAAGAAAGAAATTGTAAAAAGGAGCAAAAAAAAAGAAAAGAAAAGAAAAAAAAAAAAAAGAAAAGAAGTAAAGAAAAGAAAAGAAAAGAAAAGAAAAGAAAAGAAAAGAAGAAAGGGCAAGACATCGAATATAATATATATTGAAAAAAAAAGAGAATCACTGAAAAGTAGAAATAAAGCCACTGAAAGAAAAATTGATAATCATTAAAAATAAATGGGAGTAAAGAGAAATAGAATGATGAAAAAGAAAAGAAAAAATTAAAGAAAGAAAAAAATGGTGAATAATCAGTAGAGAAAAGTGGAGTTCAGATTTCAAAGCCAAAACAACACACTATCACTGTACGTTAAAATAGACATAAATATAAAGTTGTAGCCTTCTGTCTATATCTTTGAGATAAGGTAATATGATTATTTGCATTATTTACATTATTCGGACTGATATCCTCATCTTCATTGCCATATTCACGACATTTCGATTGTTGTACGCTCTGGCCTTCTTCAGGATATTGGAATTTCAACCAGAACACTTTATTTCGTGCACCGGGGGTAGATTGTACTAGTTCCACGTGTCAGGCCTATTCCGGATGTCCTCAGCTGGCCCAGTTGATCAAGACGTTGGTTAGATCCAGTGACTAGACCCAAAGAGTTGTGAGTTCAATACCAGGCTACAGCAGTGGCGAGCCAAAAAAATTGTAGTTGATTTAAAGGGAAATGACTGAGATACTGTATCTCTTCTGGACGGTCTCCTTGTTTAAACTGTTGAATATTGCCATAATCCTTGCAGTCAGTTCATCTTTGTGTGTCTGGGGAGTTAGGTAGCCAGATGTAAAGGACAGATGTGGTCGCTGAAATTGCCTGCCAGCAATGACTGGGTTCTCTTGACCCAGAGAAGCACTACCTCCTCAAGGTACTTTATGTAGACCTCCGTATTGAGTCAGCCCTGTGGAAAGATGAATAGAGGCATAACGTCGCCGTCATTTCTGATCACTCCAAACTCCTTCGTAATCAGCATTAGACTCCTCCAGCGCTTTCCGAATCCTCTGCGCTGTCCTCAGACGGACACGCAAACAGTCTGAAATGTTCGTATTGGAGCTACCGGCACGAATGCCAAGCAGTACAGCATGCCAAATTTCTGGGGGAGTGAATTGCATCATGGTACTCTTTTTCTCATAGACGGTACCCAACTGACACTAATATACTGTGCAGTCGACAAAATGGAAAACAAACAACGCGCATGCATGAAATTAAAAATATAAAATGGCGACTATTTCCTCTTTGCACCTTGTAGATAAATAACTGAGATCGATAGTGAGATCGATGGATAACAATGAATAGACCGATATATATATATATATATATATATATATATATATATATATATATATATATATATATGTTGTTGTGGGGTAGCTGAACATCCCCACAAGATGGACTGGTTTAAGACTATTTAAACAGCACTCTCTCTTACTGAGCGAGAGGAGTTAAATGAGTAACTGTATTCTCAACCGTGTACCATATTATTCTCCGGAATAAACTACTTCTTATCTTCCATATGTGTGTCAATCTTTCCTATTTACGACTCAACACACACACACACACACACACACACACACACACACACACACATATATATATATATATATATATATATATATATATATATATAAAATATATATAGCAAAAATCCTTGGTTTCAACCTTTTGGTATCTTCAGGCGATTTCGATTAATTGATTTCCCTAATACTTTATTGTTTAAAAATAAAATAAATTATGAATGCTATATTTATAAAAATAAATAAATGAATAAGGAAACGACGTGGGCTAGAAGGTGAAGAGGAGGAGGAGTGGGAGGAAAATCAAGTATATATATATATATATATATATATATATATATATATATATACTATCACTATCAGTTGAGCCCGGCGTTGCACGGGGATGTAACAGTAAGAGATAGAGCAAGTATCGACCATCATAAAGACCGAAAAATAAAATTGACAAAGATTATTGTTTAAGGTCGACGGACACGCATGTCTTAATTAGTTTTTTTTGTTTTGTTTTGTTTTGTTTTTTTACTAATTGGTCAAACCCAAACTCAAGCAAAAACATTGTTTTTCAATCGTTATGAGTCTACCGATTGAATAGAATTTTTATTATAAACAATTGTCTTGTAAATGGAATTTTTAAAGCATTCTGAATGTAAAAATAAAAAAAAAAGTGTGCAAGATAATAAGAAACACTACCTGCCAAAAAAAAAGTGACGTTTTGTTGAAATCGGTTGAAAATGTAGGAAATCGATTCCATATATAAACGAACACACACACACACACACACACACACACACACACACACACACACACACACACCTGGGTTTTATAAGTATAACTCGATATCAGTTCTCCCCCTTTCATTCTGGCGGCAGAATTGTGTTTTATCGTGTTTTCAAATTGATTTCGTGCAAAAACAATTGTGTTTTTCCAATTTTTGGCGCTGTCAGAACCACCGCAAGGTAATTTTACGCAGTCTTGTGACGTTTTGTTGAAATCAGTTGAAAAATGTAGGAAATCCGATCCAATATATAAACACACACACACACACACGCACACACACACAATCTGCGTTTTATAATAATATATATAAATATATATATGTATGTGTGTGTGTGTTTGTGTGTGTGTGTGTGTGTGTGTGTTTGAGTGTGTGTATGTTCACAACGGAAAGAAAGAAGTGCTCCACGCCATATAAAATGCCAGATCATTACTATATTATGAATTAAATTTCTGGAGTACAGTAATCGACGACAACGGCCAGTTTCATGATTTCACGCATTCATCAGGAAGTCGACATTAGGCTTCTTTATCGTGGCCCTATTCTACCGTATGGGAGCGAGTACTTTTTAATGAACCTACGATCTATGTCTTTCTTTCTTTCTTTTTTTCTTTTGCGATGCTGGTTTTTTCTCGGAGGGATGGGTGCTTTTACCCCGTCCAGGTGAGTATTTTTTTTTTCCATCTAAAACTTACCTGCGGGGATAAAAATCCCCATTTTTGCTCTAAAGCTGCCGATCGCCTGACGTTTGCGTGAAAGCATGAAACTAGCAGTCGTGGTTGGTTACTATACGCCAGAAGTTAATTTCATAAAGGTGATTCGTTGTCTGTTACATTTAACAATATATGTTTGAATAAATTCAGTAAATTCATATCTATCTCTTTATCTCTCTATCTAATATCTATCTATCTATCTCCATCTGTTCATATATTATCTATATATCTATCTCAATCTGTTTATATATATATATATATATATATATATATATAACCATTATATATATATATATATATATATATATATATATATATATAACAGATTGAGATAGATATATAGATAATATATGAACAGATGGAGATAGATATTAGATAGATAAATAGATAGATATGAATTTACTGAATTAGATTATTCAAACATATATTGTTAAATATAACAGACAACGAATGTCTATTACGTTTGCAAGCTTACATTGAGGAATAAAAATATCCAAATGTTGGACAGTTTTTATCTTTCTTTTCTCCCGAAACTAAAGCCACTGTACGAAGCTTAGAACGACTCGTGATCAAACATAATAGACATTCATTCGCTGTTATATTTAACAATATATGCTTGAAAAATGTTCTGCAACCCAATACACTAAATTAGATCGATATGGATAACATGTATAGATAGATAGATAGATAGATTGAGATAGGCATTAGATAGACAAATATGAACAGATTGAGATAGATGTGAATATATTTAGATAGATATGAACATGTTGAGATAGATAAATATGAATTGATTATGATAGATAGATAGATACAGGCTAAGATAGAAAAAATGCTCGCTAGCTAGATATATTACAATGAATAGATTGAGACAGATAGAAATATAGAAAGAATCGTTCGTCATTTTGCAGTAAACAGTTAACTCGTCTTTTTGCTCCATTATTTCTGCAATGAGTTTTATAAATCGATTCAAATGCAATGGCGCATCTATCTTATCTATATTATCGCTTTATTTATCAGCTATTATGAAAAAAAAAAAAAAAGCATCGCCTGTTGAATAGTAATGTCGACGATAATATTCCTTGTTTTCTTTTTGTTCGACTTAGATTTTGCTAAAAAAAAACCCTGAATATAATGCCAAACTGTTATTTTATAGAATTACTAACTGTGAGGTTGTTATGACATCAAGTGGAAATTCTCGCATCTCGCAGGTTTTCTGGGGAAACAAAAAGTGAGAAAAGAATGGTGTGCATGATGCCAGCACGCAGTCGGTTTCTATCTTATCCAGAAAAAACAAAAAAAAAAAAAAAAAAAAAAAAACTAAAAGAACAAGTCACGCAGATAAATTAAGAACAAAGAAAATAGTGAATGTGAGAAACCAAAACAATTTAAATAACACTGCATAAATCTTTTAAGCTTTATCAATCCGGCTTTTACGAAGTGGGTTGGGTTTAAAAATTTATTATTATTATTATTATTATTATTATTATTATTATTATTTCCTTTGATTTCTGGTGTGAAAACATTCCCTCCCCCAACAGACATAATGTTAGAAATGGCATCATGACATTTTCCACTTATCAATTTAAAAAACAAAACAAAACAAAACAAATAAAACACAAACATATTTTACACAGATAAATCCCTTCCTAAGGTGTGGGCTGTACTGGTGAGAACAATTTTTTGTCTTCTTTTAAGGCATCCAGAAATCCCTTCAATTAGTCTACTGGGATTTTTTCCAACCAATCGGAGGGTACACCAACTACAACATTTTTGAGATTTTGATTTCTTTCCTTGTATTTTGGTAGCTTTTTGAAGATCTTCAAAAATACATTGCATTCTGCAGAGACTGCCATATCAATAAGGAGGCAATTTTGTTTTCGTTTTCGGTCTTTAATAACAATGTCTGGACGGTTACCTTTGATTGTTCTGTCTGTGCGTATTGTGTAGTCCCATAAAATTATAACAGGTCCTGTCTCCGTAACCGGGTATGGGTGGGGTTCATACCAATATCTTTCATCAGTTTCCTTACCGTAGAAGTTGAAGTGGGCCCATTGAACCCGTATAAACGTGTTCAGGGTCGATTTATCTCCCCGAAAGAGAATCCGCCCTTCGGCATAGCCTCGTTCGGGATCCTCCCTGCCCGAAGGCAGAGAGTTCAACCAATCTGTCGTTCAAGACTTGTGCGACTGACGATATCCAGTCACCCCCACCCCCACGAGGGCGTCATGTGGCACAAGGCCTTTTTAACGTGGGCTCTCCGAGAGAGAATCTGCCCTTCGGTGTAGCCTCCGTCTGGGTTCCTCCCCGCCCGAAGGCAGAGATTTCAACCGATATGTCGTTCAAGACTTGAGCGACTGACGATATTCAGTCACCCCCCACCACTAGGGCAGCATGTGACACAAGGTCGGTTATTTATTGTGGGTTCTCCGAGCGCGTGGGCTCGGCCCAAAAAATGCCCGTGAACCCGTATAAAAAGGGTTCAGGGGCCGGTTTACTTCCCCGAAGGAGACTCCGCCCTTCGGCGTAGCCTCCTTCGGGTTCCTCCCCCCGTAGGAAGAGAGTTTAACCGAACAGTCGGTTCAGAGGTGAACGACTGACGATATTCAGTCACCCCCCCCTACGAGGGTGTCATGTGGCACAAGGCCTTTTTAACGTGGGCATTCCCGATCCATTAGGCACGGCCAAAAAATAGCCCATTTGAACCCGTATAAACTGGTTCTGGACCGGTTTAACCTCCCCGAAGGAGACTCCGCCCTTCGGCGTAGCCTCCTTCGGGTTCCTCCCGCCCGTAGGAAGAGAGGTGAACCGAACAGTCAGTTCAGAGTTGAACGACTTACTCCCTGCCTACTCCTGAGGCGCAGTATTTATTATGTATGGATTAGTTCATTATTATTATTATTATTATGGGTAAGATCCCATACAAGTAAGTTACTTACATTTTCCCATGAACAATCGTGATGAGATATTTCAAATACCGTAACAATAGGATAGAGTGCAATGATATGGTTTTCCGAAAAGTGTCAGTGCCAGTGCCAGTGCCAGTTGATCATATGCAGCCTTCGCCGTCATTAGAACTCGGATCACCGATTCCGTTTGACATAATCGTAATGATTCCCCCTCCCCACTTTGAACGTCAGATTTTTTCAAGTCTTGTTGATAAGTGCCTCTGTATGAAATGTAAGATTCCATAGAATGACATAACGCAATAAACATGACTCATTGACAATGACTTATGAAAGGCGAAAGTACTCAGACACCGAACAATTATAACTTTCAATGCATGTGTTCCTTGTTGCCACTGACTTTAGTTTTGCAGACCCCCAACTCGACATAATAAACTCTATCAACTGACGACCATTTCATTTCCTTAATCGCTTTATTATATGAAAGGGACAGTCGTAGTAGCAACGATTCTAGGAGGAAGCGGAAGGAAGATGTTCAGAGGAACTCTTCTAGACTCCTTGGCTTAGCATTTTGCCGCGGGATGGTTAGCTACTCTATGGACTCTGCAAAATTCTTGGAGCCATTTGCTGTCTTCCTGTCGCTTTGGTCTTATATCCAAAACTTAGACAATGATAAACCATCACTATGAGAATTCCATGCCGACAGGGTCTTGTGTGCAATAGTTTGACATGCTTGGCTAGGATTTGGATTCTGTAACAATTTAAAAACAGAAAAAATGAACTGAAATGCAGAAAAAAATAAAAAATAAAGATATATATCTTTAATAACTTTCGTTGACCTTATACTAAACTTATATAAATTAAATATTCCTGCCCAAATACACTCAATATATATATATATATATATATATATATATATATATATATATATATAGTTATCCACATAAAGCCTGTTTCGCTGTATCAGTGGGACTAGACATCCGATTGCATCAAGCCGGGATCGAAACTCGACCGAATTGACATCAGACAGAGTATCTACCCCTAAACTATCAGCACACGGTAGATAAATGGAATCTTCTAACATATTATATACGTGATGTATACAAACGCCAAATCAATAGCCTACAGTGCTCAATACGTAAGTAAATAAAAGGGGCAACCAATACTGAAAATTTCCCTTCTGTATAGTGCTCAATCGGCGAACGAGAGCATAATAATATATATATATATATATATATATATATTGTAAGACAAAACGGATTGTGATCTTAAACAAAATAAATACATAGAAAAAATTAACTCACTAATCAACTATACCGACACATACGACGAAAAATAAACGAACAAAAAACAATTATTGAAATACAAAAATTTAACAAGAAGATCAGAAAATTATTTAAAATTAAAACCACTCGTAGCATAGATTCATAGCTAGCACAAGCCAAGATCAGCTATGACTAGCTTACACTAGCTCTGACCAGCTTTCAATGTTTAATAACAATTTTTACAAACAAAAAATTGGATTACCAATGTCATCGATTCACAATGGAGTTATGTCATGTATCTTAGAAATTCTCGAATTTGGTTCTTTCCAATATATTTTACCTAAACAATCAACTTAAATCCGATTAACTAATAAATATAAAATCCGGAATGATCATTGGATTCTAGTTAAGAGCACAAAGAATTTGCAGCCCTCAATATTTACACGAAGAGAAGAAATATATCGAAAATACTTTTAAGACCCTACAATACTCTGAGTATTTCATATTCAATGCGAAACTAAAGGCCCATAAAATATTCCAAAATAGTAAAGCTGTCCTTCCTGACAAACCTAACGAATCAGAATATATATTATTCTACCCACTAACTCTATCACAACTACAACCAAAAAGAATTTATCTAAACTCAGCATAAAAATTGTCACAGCTATATTTAAAGAAATAAAATCACGGCAAATCAAATAATTTACTCTATCAGCCGCAAGGATTGCCAGAAAGAATATATTGGAGTAACCTCAGGAAGTTTAAAGAAAACACTATATGAACATAAAAGAGACATTTTCAAAAACAATACACCAAACGCTGTGGCTGTTCACCGTAACGAAACTGATCACAATTTTGACATAAGATATGCTAGTCTTGTGAAAAGACAAAATAATTCACTGAGACGAAAATGCCTAGAAAATGATTTAATCGTTAATTTAGCAACAGTAAATTTACGTCCCTCAATTACAACTTATCACTATTCTTGGCAGATCTCCTGTTATAACAATGTGCGATATTTAAAAACAAAGATGATAGAAAGAAAAAGCCTATAGAGGAATTTGGCTAGATTGCAAAAATTACTTCAAAAACAAACCCTAAAAACTTTGAAATTATCAGCATCTCTCATCCATAGGCATATATATATTTGCTTGCATATATATATATATATATATATATATATATATATATATATATATACAAACAGCATATTAACGTTGCCCGGGCTTGATTAAAAAATCGACTCATACATCGCTATCACTTGACTTAAAATATTTTTGCCCTTCCTTGCCTTTAAAGGAGTGCCCTTTGCCGTGCTGATGTTGCTACATGCCTTACACTGCGATTTTTTTCTAAGCTCTATACTAAACATTAAATCTTTTACGAAAAAAGAACTAAACAAAATGAACACAAAACGATCAGCTTTAAAAAAAAAAGTCGTAACTGGAAAAACCGAATGAAAAAAGAATGTTAACAACAAATAATTTTTCACGTCGAACCCAGTTCTGCGGAATCAGAATCAACGTTAAGTTTAAGCAAGCGAATGAGCCAATGGGAGTAAAGTGCCATGCAGATTTAAATTTTTCTCACTTGTAACGAATGCAGCTATCGATTTTTTTTGCATGCTAGCATGCTAGTTAACATTAGTGTCAGTCAGCTGTTGGCTCTCACGCTGGCCAATAGAATCACCCTGCCTATTCCTGGCAGCCAGCTATAGGCTCTCACTCTGGCCAGTAGAAAATGGCCGCAAACTACATGAAAACTACCGT